TCAGTAATTTTCGTTAGTTTTTTAACAATGGGATCAAAATTAATTGAAATTGTTTATAATGAGACCAAATTGATTGAAATTGTTTATATTAGAACTAAAATTGATGAGTTTTTTATATTGAGACTAAAATTAATAAATTTTGGTTATATTATGACCAAAATTGATGAGTTTTTTATATTGGGACTAAAATGGATGTATATATAATAGTATATTTGTAATTTATGTAAAAATTAATGTATAATTACTTTTACTAAAAAAAAAAAAAAATTGAATGACACAGACCAAAAGTGTAAAAATTATATTTTGAACTACGACAGAGTTTGTGTTTTAAATAGTAAAAAAAAAATATTGAATTTTTCTATGTGATACAAATATATATATTGACATGATATTTTGAATATGAATTATATTTTAATCTAATTTTAAAGAAAAGTAAATAAATATAATATTTTTGGGTAAAAATACTTTTAGTTGCGAAAATTTTATTGAAATATTAACATTTTATATATTTTTATTTAAAATATGTATCATATTAGGAATGACTAATAATTGAAAGCAAGCATACCTTTATTTATTTATTTATTTATTTATTTTTATATAATTATAATAATGTTCTTATTTGGAGTTCACACAGCCTTTATCAGGGAATATATTTTGTCTTGAACCTGCTAGATTCGACCATGATCTAGAAATTTTTTTTTTTTTTTTATTACGTAGGATTCGCAGTCGTTATTTATTTTTTATTTTTTCTATAAAATGTGCAAAGTCATATCATAACATATAAATAATTTAAAATTCAAATATTATATCCTCCCTTCTATCTGGAAATTAGTCTGTTTCTTTATATTTTAGAAAAAAAAAAAAGAAAAGAGACTAAATTTGTCGAACACAAAGAATAACCAATAATTTTTCTAGTTTTAAAATATCGAATAATCAAACATAAATATATTATTTGAAAAAAAATGCAAATTAACACCTTCATTAGTAATACAGTATTTAAGGTAATAAAATATAGTAAATTGTTATATTATTTTATTATTTTTATGTTATAGGAGTTGTTGGTATTTTAAAATAAGAATTAATATATATGTAAATGAAATTTAAAGTATGTTTTTAAATATTTAAATATTCTCAATAAAATACATACAGTGTAGATATTATTTTAGATAATAAAATTTTATATAATATAAACAATAAAAAATAGTATATATTTAATTATGATTAGCACAAAATAATTTTACATATAATGAGAAGGTTTATATATAGATAAAAATATATTTATTTACTAATTATAGATTAAAAAAAATAGTTTTGAATGAACGAGTAAAATGTTATAAATTTAATTAAGTTGATTTATATTTGTTAATTATGTTTAAAATTGATAAATTTACTAAAAATAAAAATATATAAACTAGTATAAACTAAAATTAAAAACATGTCAACTGTTAATTATGTTATCATTTTATCAGTTTTAATATCATATTATTTGATAATGTATATTTATTATGCAATCTACAAATTCTCTAATAAAAACAAAAAAAAAAAAAAAACAAAAAAAGTTGCATTTAAGTTAGAAATGATCCTAATATAATAAATAATATTTGTATTCAATTATTGATTTTTTTTAATATATAAACTATATAATCTTTTTTCTTAATCAAAAGTAAATTTTTTTTACTATTTTTGTCTATTTAACTAAAAAGTACTACATCTGTCATCTTTCCTCTAAATTTATATTTACTATTTTTATTGCTCTCATCAAAGAATTATTCTACTGTACTATTTTTTTTTACTATAAAAAAGCAAAAAAGAAAATTTTTATTTTTACTTATTTTTTTTACCCGATCAAATAGACATAAGTTTCGAGGATGGAGGTAGTATCAATTTTCTTATTGCATAATCATATACTAATATAAAAATATTTTAAATTTTTACGTAAATTACAAATATACCATATATACAATAAAGATATTTTTGTTGGTTTATCTCAGTTTTGTATTACGTATGAATATTAAAAATTTAACATATAAAAAACAAATTAATACTTACTTAACGGACAAAAGTAGAGTATATATTACCCATTTATTAAGGATAATTACATCATTTTTATTTTTTTTTATTGTCCGATAAATTTATACATAATTCGTTTATAACAAATAATTTTATCTACTTATAATTTTGTTACTCTTATTTTAATAAAGTAATAACTAAATTTTCATGTATTTTTTTATTTATCTCACTATTTTATTATTAACTTTGTAATATATTTTTTATAATATTCTTAATTTACTTTTTTACCTCGTTTTTATATTATAATATTACTTCCTTTTTTCCAATACAATAGTTTTGTTTACTATTTTTGTCCGTCCCAAAACAAGTCTTATTTTCATAAATAATTATATCATTATAAAACTACCCTTACTTTTTTTATTATTATTACACAATTGTCACTAACTTTTACACCCTTACACTCATAAGGGCAAAAATGTCTTTTACCTGTACTTTTTACCCACTATCAATATAATATCAATATTTCTTAAATCTCGCACCCAACACAACTAAGACTATAGTTTCGGGACGGAGAAAGTATTATATTTTACTCTCTATGGCTATGCCCAAGTATAATAGCATAAGTAGCTCGAACGAAAAAATAATATATAATTTTTTAAATATTAATCAAAAACTAATTTATGAAAAAACACAGCCAAAATATCACATTACGACAAAATGTTTAAAATAATTTATATACTTTTGGTCATAGACAAATCTTCGAAGGTGGTATTCATTATCGGAAAGTTAAAAGAGAAATATATTCCCTCCGTCCTAAATAAGGTGCAATATTTACTTTTGGCACAGGTTTTTAGGTGGGTAGTATTAAATAGGATATTTAGAAATTATGTGATATGATAGAGAGAGAAATATATATTTTATTCTTTTATTTGGATGATAAGAGGAGATAAAGTGTGGGGTAGAGATTAAGTATAATTAATTATTTTCTATTTTGGAAATGTTACAGAGTGTTTGGAACATACCAAAAAAAAAAAATATTGCAGGGTGTTTGGGACGGAGGGAGTACTATTTATTTCCGTCATATATGATATTTTTTTCACTTTCTATATGTTTGTAAAAGATAATTTATTTTTTATTTTTAATAAATTTATTAATTTTAAATATATTTAATAAATATAAATCAGTTTAATTAAAGTTATAATCTTTTATGCGTAATTCATTTATTTTTATGTCTCTTCTCAATAAATAAATAATTTTATTTATATTTAAAACTTCATGTTATCTATAAATTAGTTTTAAGTTAATTATAAATAATTATATTTTTAATTTATTTATATTACTCTTTATGTCCCATAAGTAAATATTCATTTACTTTTTGCACGCTAGTTTTAGAAATATTAGTATTATATTAGGATATAGTAGGAATAAAGTAAAAATGACTAAAATAACCTTATTAGTATGTGTGATATAAAAGTAATGACACTTGTGTAATATATTGTAAGTTGTAAAGGTATTTGTAATGTTAGGTAGATAGTACAATTACTACAAAAGAAAATAGATATTTTATTATGGGACGAACTAAAATGAAAAAATGAATATTTTGTTATGAGATGGAAATAGTATATAAAATTTTATTATTTATAAAGTAATATTCATATTATATATTTTATTAAATATAATATTAAAAATATTTAAAATATCAGCATTATTTATATAAAAATAATAAAATAATATTATAAGATATTATTAATAACTTAGTAATGTTCCCGGTGTATATATATATAGATTGAGAGAATGAACCAATTATTGCTACGTAAGATCTTAGTTAATGGTCCAAAGCTTTCCACGATGTTACGACCAATATTTTAATGGGCAATTTTTATTTTTTTTAGTTTTACAGTAAATTCCTTTTATATATTTAAGACTATATTGTTCTGTAAATATTTTTCTGCAAAATTTGTCAAACAAAGCCGGATTCGACACACTAACAATGATGTGTTTTGGAATATTATTTATTTTATTGGTTGTTTTATCCGTTATTTACTCTATTTATAAATAGGTATTGATTTTATAATTTATGAATAATACAATTTTCTTAAATTTTAACACAGTATTAGAGCTCAATTTAAAAAATTTAAAACTCTAGCCGCCGCTGTTGTTTGCTGCCATCCGCCACGATCTGGTCAACACCACCATCATCGTTCAAACCACCACCTTGTCCTTGGAATTTCACTGCCAACGGCGGCGCATCCGGCCCACACGCGCCGCTGACGCAAATCGGGGTGTCGCGCCTTCATCCGCTGCCGCCATCTTTGAGCTACGTGTGGCGGCACATCTAGCTGTCTTCGGACATCATTTTTCGGCCGTTGCTTCCTGTCTTGATTACCTAAGTCGTTGTGTGGTTGATTTTGTTATTGAAGTTAATTTTATTTTGTGTTTATTACCAGCATGACTTTCCTAGTCCAGAATATCGTGACTCTCGTGCATCAAGTTTTTGCTTTCAGTTCCTCTTCTGTCATGGACACTTCATGGTATTTTGATTCCGATTGCTGCCACCATATGACACCTACACTTGGTCTCTTGACCGGTGCGTATCATGTGTCATATTCTCTGCTTATATACTGCATTCTTCAATTGACTTTAAATTTTGTATAAGTTGGCCAACTCTTTGAATAGGGACTTATTGTTACTTTTTTTTCTTTAGGTGTGAAGGTTGAGGATTCACGTACGGGTCAAATTCTTGGGACAAGTCGTAAAGTGGGTCAACAATTTGAAGTACAGTCATTGAAAATCCCTCCCCGTAATTTTTCTACTGCTACTACTCATACTCCTCTTACTTCTCTTCTTTCCCCTACTCTCCAGTAGCATATTTGTCTTGGTCATGCGTCTTTCTCTAAAATACAGTCTCTTGTTTGTAAGGGGTCATTTGGGTTCTACTAGTTTTGAGTCACTTGATTGTTTACAGTGTCATTTGGAAAAACAATCGGCCTTATATATTTCAGAAAATATGTTGGTTGCAAGTAAATCGTTTTTCTTGGTTCATTTTGATATTTAGGGTTATTCCCTTGTTCCTTCTATGTTGCCTATACCATAAATCGTATTTCATCCTTTTTCTGTCATAATAGTACTTCTTTTCAACGTCTATATGGTCAGCCACTCGATTATAATATCCTTCATCCCTTCGGTTGTGTCGGTTTCGTCTTTATCCCTCCGCATGAACGTTCCTAATCGGAACCTCGTGCGCATTTATGTTGTCTTCTTGGTTATGAGATAGAGCATAAATGTTATAGGTTTTGAGATCCGATTTCTAAAAGGTTACGTATATCTCGTCATGTTACCTTTTTGAGAGAGTGTCATGTTTTCCACCCTGTCTATATTTCATGTTTCATCCATTTCTGGTTCACCTTCATTTATGTCGTCATGTCGTCCTTTGTTTCCTGACCCTGATTCTACGACTTTATCTCCGCCTCTGGATCCTGTTCCGGTTGAGACTTCTGATCCACCTACAACCTCGTCTCCAGATATTGGTCCGTTTGCGGTGCCTGGACCTGTCATACCTCGTCGATTAGATCGAGTAAGTCATTCATCTGCTCATTTGCGTGATTATCATTGTTACTATGTCATTTTATCTCATCATAAGTCTAGGTCATTTCGTAAGACAAGTGTTGAGTCATTGTAGCAGCAAGCTATGACCGAGGAATTGCTGACTTTGGAAAAGACTTATACTTGGAATTTAATGATTTGGCAAGATACTTATTGGTGGTGGCTAAGGGTAGAGGGTTATTCTCAGTAATATTGAGTTGATTATGAAGAACACTTTGCCCCTGTTGCTCGTCTCACTATTATTCATTGTTTTATTGCCGTTGCTGTTGTTTGTGGTTTGTCTCTTCTTCAATTTGATTATTCGTCGTTGGATTTTTTTTTTTCATTTTTTATAATTTTTAATTTTTACAAAAAAGACCAAATAAGAAAATTTCAAAAAAAAAAAAAAAAAAATCCATGTGTCCCCGCCAGGTGTCACTAGCATGGAAGATATTTATCCTCTGGAGAGCCACGCGGGTGCCTCATAGGCAATTCTGGCGTTAGAGAACTAAAATTGCAAAAAAAATTCACTTACAGAATCGGTTTGCGATAGTCTCTAATTACGATATTAAAATGATAAAATGAGTCAAGTTACTGAACTAAGAAATCAATTTACCTCATATATATATATACATGCTAATTTAAATATACATATCCGCATCAAAGGCTATTATGGCTTTGTTTACTCAACACACTTTTATTTATTTGGCATTATTATTTTTAAAAAAATATTACATCAAATATTTTTTTCTCACAAAACATCAAATTTAATACTCCATCCGTCCCATAACAAAGTATCTATTTTTTCATTTTAGTCCATCCCATAACAAAGTATTCATTTTCTTTTTTAGTAACTGTACTATCTATCTAACATTACAAATACCCTTACAACTTACAATATATTACACAAATGTCATTACCTTTATATCGCACATACTAATAAGGTTATTTTAGTCATTTCTATTCTATTCCTATTATATCCCAATATAATACTAATATTTATAAAACTACATGCAAAAAGCAAATGGATATTTAGTTCGGGGACGGAGGGAGTACAAACATTTTATTTTTTTTCATACTTCCAAAATTTCAAAAACCTCAAAAAAAAAAATCTCTATCAAAACAAAGCATATACTCCCTTCGTCCTATATCTATATATCCATTTGTTTTTTGCACGGAATTTTATAAATATTATTATTATATTAGGATAAAATAGAAATAAAGGTAAAAAGACTAAATTAACCCTATTAGTATTGTATGATATAAAGATAATGACATTTATATAATATATTGTAAATTGAAAGAGTATTTGTAATATTATATAGATAGAATAATTACTAAAAAAAAATAAATACTTCATTATCGAACATACCAAAATAAAAAAATAATAATAAATTGGGGAGTATTTAATACGTTTGTCCTTTAGTCTTCAATTCATACCTTCCATTTAAACATTATCCATCTAATGATGTGGTACCCACTAGGGTAGTGGGGGGAAGCACATTTAATTCAATAATTTTATTCTATTTAAAAAAATTATAATTTAATAATTATGTTATTATTAATAAATTTTAGTGCCTTACTATTTAAAATACGATTGTTAGTCAATTAATTTTTTTAAAAAATTAGTACTTTATTTAAAATGCTTACTTAAAAGATTCAACTCAACAAAACTCTAATTTGTTATTTAAATATATATATATATGATTTTTAGTATTCTTTTTCACTATATAAATAAAATAATACTCCCTTCGCTCCGGTCAAAATGATTTTTTTACTTAGGAACACGATATTTTTAGTAATGATGATTAGTAAGTTATTAATAATAAATTATGATATTATTTTATTACTTTTTATATGAGTAGTGTTGTTGATATTTTAAATATTTTTAGCATTATAAAATATATACAATATAAATAGCATTTTGTAGATAATAAAATTTTATATAATACAAATAAATAAATAAAAATTAATTAATTAATTTATAATTAACTTAAAACTAATTTTATTAAAAATAAGAAGTTTTAAATATAGATAAAAATATAGAAATAAAGGGGTTTTGAAGGATCCTACATAAAAAATATTAAAAATTTATTTAATTATTTTATATTTGTTAAATATATATTTAAAATGAATAAATTTACTAAAAAATATAAAAGGGTCATCTTTAATGAGACGGAAAAAATAAATAAATACTTTTGTAGGTTTTCAAAATCCGTTGAAGTTTTTTATATTAGTAGAGATTTGCGCCGTACTCTTTTCATTCTACATATCGTGATACGATAAGAAGGGGTGTGACTAGTACTATAAATGTGTAATGAAGAGATATATTAACAAGAAAAAAGATAAAAAAATATATATATAATACAGTAAAAAAAAAAAAAAAAAAAAAAAAAAAAAACAACTTTTTCTCATATGGCATACAAACTTTGGAAGTTTTAACAAAAGATATCCAACTACACACATATATACAATATTACACCTAATATTACATCAACTAGAAATTTTACAGATTACCCCCAAATTTACACAATTTCTTCGCACCTAACAGGAAGGTAAAATCACATGTTTTACCACCAATTTGGGAATCTTATTTGAATTCTCTCTTAATTCCACTTTAAAATCAACGATAAATACCCTATTACTTAGACAAAATTTCTCATTCCAACATTAACGACAGCAACAACAAACTCTCACGTTAATTATAGAATAATAATATATTCAAAATATTTCTATCACAAATTCAGATAACTACAACAATCAAAATATGTATGTTCAAGAAATTGCTTACGCATTCGGAATTGAACCGGGTGGTTCAATTTATACTCATTTCCTACGATGAGAGTGGGGAGCCATCGAAAAGGAAAATAACATAAGTTGCCACACTATTCGGTTGCTCGGTCCGAACCGTTTTCAAGTATTGGAAAACTGCGATACAACAATTACAAAAAAGTGAAACAATTGGTATTAGTAAAAAAAAAAATAGTGTAAGAAAAGACAAAATAATGCCCAACATGAATGCAATATAAGCCTTATCATTTATGCGAAGGTCTTCGATCATAAATTTAACATATGGGGTTGGATTGATCGAAAACAATCATACACCGATGGATTAAAAAGAAATACTTTAGGTCTCACACCACTGTTGTTTGGCCAGAATTGACGGAGGGTAAAAAACTCCAAGTATTATGTTTTTCATTAGAAGCTCTTGATATTTATAGATGTATTGAATCGGCATTATTTTGAAGTATGCATAATGTGGTACACATTGATGAAAAATAATTTTATATAACAAAAGCTACTTTTGATTTTTCTTGATCCCTGTGAAAAATGATCCACACAAAGCATGTAAAAGCAAAAAGTTCATAATAAAAATTATGTCAATGTGTGTTGTATCCCAATCAATATGGGATCGGGATGCGACTCTTTTGTTTGATGAGAAAATAGGAATTTTTTCTTTTACATAACAGGTCCCTGCCAAAAAGTCAAACAAAAATCGGGCAGCTGGCACATTAGAAATTAAACCAATTTATTCTGTAACGAAGCAAGTTAAAATTGGCTGATTAACTAGGTAAATCATACTTTTCAACTTAATAGAAACAAAAATGTAAGAAACATACTGTGAAAGTTTTCATTTATCTTAATTACAATATAATAGAAGATCATAATTTTCTTGAATAACTGTGGTATTTCAATCATTTATGAGTGGTTAATTATATGCATATTATCCTGTCAATCAAAGAGAAGTGATCAACAAATTTTATCAAAAATATATGCATTCAGCAGGACAATGCTAAACCACGTATAAAAGGAGATGATCCGAACTTTGTACAAATAATAAACAACCACAGTTTCAGCATTAAGCTCATTCAACAACCACCAAATTCACCGGACATGTATATGAATGACCCGTGTTGGTTACGAGCAATACAAAGCTTAGACACTGAGAAATCATTTTAACACGGTGAATTATCTACTAGATGTTGTTATTTCAAGCTTCAACGAGTTGATACCCCAATATTTAGACAATGTATTTTTAAATTTGCAATGTCGCATAATTCAAGTGATAAAAACAAAAGGTAACAATTCATACAAGCTTTCACATGTGAAGAAAGATAGTTTATATAGAGAATGAAATCTACCAAATGACATAAACGTTCCAATGAAATTAATACATGAATGCATTCACTATGAAATTGAAAAATGCGAGGTAAATGGTATTGAACGAGTTATGACTGATCTAGGTTATTAGTATTATGAATTGATGTAAGAAAGTTTTTTTTGTCAGTGCTTATGCTTGTGTAAATATATGAGAATACTTAGCAACAAGAATATAATGTAAATATTTGGATGAAATGCATTTTACTGAATAAAATATTTATTTTTAAATTGTTAACTCAAATTTATAGATTAGAAGTTGAGTTGTTGAGTGAAAATAATTTTAATATGAGTATATGTAATTGTGAATGCCATTTTGAAGCCAACAATAACATATCGGCAAATTTTTAGATGAAACGAAATGGTTATAGGTTTTTATCTATATAATCAAATACTATATAATTTGGTTATAGAGTATTATTTGTAATCGATAATCATATATTTTTATTTATGTTTAAAACTTTTTATTTTTTATGACATTAGTTTATATAAATTATAAATAAATAAATATAATTTTTATTTATTTGTATTATATAAAAACTTATTCTTTATAAAATGATAACTACAAGAAATTATCAATTTTATAACAAAGTTTTTTCGTTTTTAAATTCATTTTTTCCGTTACTAATGATATTATAGACGAAATTAGAGATGAACTTACGTTAGCTACGTGAACTTTAAAAACAGAATTCCGTTACAAATATACTATTTTTTTTTAGTAGATATTCATATTATATATAATATTAAGATATAGTGTTAAAAATACTTAAACACATATTTTAAATTTATTTTAATCATATATAAAATAATACTAAAATCATATCAAACTTATTATTTATAATATACTAACCTACACTTAACTAAAATACAATATTCATAACAAAATGACTCATCTTACCCAATGGATGGAATATTATATTTTTTCCTCCTCGCTTCTAAGGTCACATTTATCTTTTGCGTCATTGTACTTAATATAAAAAATATCATTATATTTGTATAATTTTTTGTACAAATATTTTTCTATTAATACTATAAGACACTAAAAAAAATATTTTTATAATTTTTAAAATTTATATTAAATTTTGATATAATAATTAATATTTAAAAATTAATATGCAAAAAATAAATAAAATATTTAAAGCGGGATTGAAGTAATACTATATTTATTTTTTTATTTACTAGTATCATTATTGAAAAAATAAAAATAGAAAAGAAAACTTTGTTTGGTGTGGGCCCTACCCACACCAAATCATGCATGTGTGTATTATTACGATTGACGATTCGTATGACAGATCCACAGCTATTGCCATTTCTAGCCATTATTTCCCTCTTGTCGGAGTTCTATTAAAAATTGGTGCTTTTTTTTTTTTAAATATATTCCTTCCATTCCACATAATTTGTCCATATTTTTTATTTTTATTCGTCCCACATAACTTGTCATTTTTATTTTTGGAAATATAATTATGCACTTTAATTGCATTTTAAATTTTAAATTTTATAATTTTCTTAATTTTAATTAAACTATTTATTTATCTTAATCTATAATTATTTTTACTAAATAATTATTATTTTTACTAATACACTTCTTAATTACTTACTAATTATACTTTATCTAAATTTTCGTGTCTACAGTAATACACCCATATTACATGGGACGGAGAGATTAATAATAATAATTTTAATGTTTCTCTACAAATATAGTGTAACAATTATTTTTGCTACAAAAAATTTAAATAAATAGTACTATCTCATCTGGCTCTAAGGTTTCATTTATTTTTTGTGTGTTAAATTTTTAAATATTAATTATTATATGAAAATATAGTACAAATAAATGGATAATAACAAAAATATTTTTATTAGTATTTTATAATACTATTATAATAATATTTGTATAAAATATTATACAAATAAAAGAATATTTTAATATTAAATATAATGACGCAAAAAGTAAATGAGAGAAAAACAAAAATTTTGAGACAGAGGAAATAATATTTTATAATATATATATATGGGTTTGTTTGCTATTTTAGTGTATTGTTTTAGGGTGTGTTTGTTTGAATAATTTTGGTGGACTTCTACTATTCATTTCATTTTTTCTCCCAAAAATATCAAATTAAACATCTATTTTTTATTTTTTATATTATACTAAAAATCAACTTTATATTTAAAACATCACATCAAACCCTATTTATACTACATCATACAACTATTCAAATTCAAAATTTTTAATATTCAAATCTCAACTCAAAATCCAAACCCTCAAACAAACACACCCATATGATTTTGGTTCCGACTGCTTACTAATTTTTTTTAGAAAATATATTAAATCAAATATCTATTTTTTATCTTTTATATTATAAAGTTAAAAATTAATTTTATATTTAAAGCATTACATTAATACCTATTTATATCAAATATACAATTATTTCAATTTAAAATTTTAATATTCAAATTTCAAACTCAAAATCAAATCTCCAAAAGAAATACTCTATAATATTTTTAGGCGAAACAATTTTCCATTATTAAAAAACATACAACATAGACACATATTAATATAATATACTAGTATAATATATATTTTATTATTCATAAAAGTGTAAAACATCAATTTTTTATATTATAAACTCATTTTTTCATATTTAACCTAAAATATAAATTTATATATATAAAAAAAAAATACATAATTTTTTTCATAAAAAATTTGAATAATTAAATAATGAAAAAAATAAAAATAATTATTACTGAACACAAATTGTACTATTATGTGGAAAGCTGCGGTGCGATTGTTTTGTGTTTTAATTTGAAAAAATTTTATATAAAAAATAGAGAACTGTGTAAATAATATAAAAGCAACAACTATATGTAGTATATTAATATTTTGGAAAATGTGTTTGGATAATTTTTGAAATCTCTTACTAATATTTTTCATGATTAGCAATAATTGTTTACTATTTTTTTTTCTGTCCACTAAGTGTGTTTGTTTGGGGGTTCTTCCCAAATACATTATTTATATAATTTTCTTTTTTCAAAAATATCAAATCAAATACCTATTTTTTATATTTTATATTATACTAAAAATCAATTTTACATTCAAAACAACATATCAACATATATTTATATCACATCATACAATTATTCAAATTCAAAATTTTTATTATTCAAATACCAACTCAAAATCCAAACCCCAAACACACCCAAAAGTATGTTAATTTTTTTTATATATAAATTTTTAAAAAAAGAGACTTTTGGTAAACTGAAGGAAGGAGTACATGATTTTAATACTATTCATTTAGGGTGTGTTTGTTCGGGGATTTGGATTTTGAGTTGGGATTTGAACAGTAAAAATTTTGAATTTGAATAGTTGTATGATGTGATATAAATAGGTGTTGATATGATGTTTTGAATGTAAAATTAATTTTTAGTATAATATAAAAAATAAAAAATAGGTGTTTGATTTGATGTTTTTGGAGGAAAAAAATAGGATGAATAGTAGATTGGATATCCAATCCCCCAAACAAACACACCCTAAAGTACTATTTAAATATATCATATTAAGTAAATATTTTTTCATAAAATATATTACATCAATTAATTAAATATTATTATTATTTTTAAAAAATTTTAAAACTTGAAAATTTCTAAAATATATATCTCAAAATATCCATACTATATATTAAAACTTCACACGTTTTTCACGGCCCCTTGGTATTCATGTTTTCTTTTTATTTTATTTATATTTTTTGATTAAATTAATATTTTAAGTTTACGTTACATATCTTTATATATATATATATATATATTTGTATAATGGTTGATCTTCAACCACTATTGCGACTTTAGGCGTCTATTATTATTATTATTATTATTATAATACTTTTTCCTCAATCATTTTTGCAACTTTAGGCGTTTATTTTTTTAGTCTTTTTTATTTTAATTTTCTTTTCTAGAATAATCGTTTTGAATTGTAATAAAAGTAAAATAATTGTGTCATTAGCAA